TCCCAAAAGTCAACAGGACTGAGACACCATGGTTAATTGTTCTAATGCATTCTCCATGGTATAATAGCTACAACTACCATTATATGGAAGGGGAATCCATGAGAGTAATGTTTGAGAAGTGGTTCGTGAAGTACAAGGTTGATGTTGTATTTGCTGGTCATGTCCATGCGTACGAGCGATCTGTAAGTTTTTCTTCTATTTTATATAATCTGAACTGCAAGTTCTGACTAGTTTATATGAATATTCATTTGAGATTTGTCTTGGTCTGTTATTACAGGAGCGAGTATCCAACATTGCATACAATATCTCAAATGGCATTTGTGTTCCTGTAAAGGATCAATCTGCACCGGTATACATAACAATCGGAGATGGAGGCAATCTTGAAGGCTTAGCAACCAAGTAAGACTGCTTGTATATTGTGTTAGTCTTATCTCATTCAATGTCTTCATGCCTGCAAGTATGCTCAATTCTCAATTTCTTCTTCACCATTGCAGCATGACAGAGCCACAGCCAGCTTACTCTGCATACCGAGAAGCCAGTTTTGGTCATGCCATGTTCTCTATAAAGAACCGGACTCATGCTTACTATAGCTGGCACCGCAATCAAGACGGATATGCTGTTGAAGCTGATTCAATGTGGTTTTTCAACAGATTCTGGCATCCAATTGATGAATCTCCAGAATCAGTGTAACAAAAAAAAATTGCCTCTTCTGGACTCCAAATCTTCCATTCATCTTACCTATGTAAAACATTAGAATTTACGGGTTACGAATAAAAATGGAGAGATTTTTGTGTTTAGTGTAATTTAGATATTAAAATGATTAAAATATTATTAATAAAATAAAATAAGAAAGAATTTTATTAAAGTTATTTTAATAAATTTATATGTTCAACTGAATTTTTATTATGCAATTTGATTTATAAAGCACTCTGTTGACAAAGTCACTTCGCGGAGGGTTGCTAAAATTACACCAGGGGTGGACACTCACAACAAGATATTGACACCTTTATTAAATCGGGGAATGAAAAGTCCGTGTCGGGATATTAGCATTTAAAGCAATTTGGATTAATGGAAAAATTGCAGTCTTGGTCTTAACTTATGAATAACATACAAATTAATACTTATATTTTTTATCTCTACAATTTGACCTTAAAAGTTATTATTTCTTTTAATTAAGTCCTACTCTGTAAAAAATAATAATAATAATAATAAATATAAAATCAAGTAAAATCCTACAAAACTATCAATAATTATCAAAGCAAAAAGTCTATATTGATATCTATAAAATTTCAACCTAGCAATAGTCTAAGATGGAGAAAATGGGTCTTATTCCATAATAGTTGGCTAAACCTCCAGATTAATTGAGAATTTCTGACAATTTTAAAAGCTAAATAGAAATTTCTTCTAAAAAGATGCCGCAAATGGTAGCATAACAGAAGAGGAGACAACCAGTGAACTAGAAACTTCCAATCTTTGTTCTATCACTGAGGAATCAGTGTTTGCCGAATTCTGACGTCGGCCTGAAAGATGCCGACTTGTGGGGCAGATGACTCCCAGCAACATGCGTTTGTATGCTTCCTCCTGGGTATTTTAATTTTGGATCATGGGTTGAAAAGATGAAAATCAAATATCATTTTGAGATTAGTGATTCTATCTCATTCTGATTCTGGGGCCTGGGCGTGTTTGGTGAGGAATTGCAGCAATTTAAGACCATTCATTTTTGGTTTCACATGGCATACATACCCACATGTGCAGGAATGGTTTAGGTGCCTTAGAGTATGTTGGATGAAATTGAAAAGTGCCTCAGTTTTTTAATATTATTTATATTTTATAAATTTAAATTTTTTAAATTAATATATTTTTATTTTTTTAATTTTAAAAAGACATTAAATAATAAATTTAAAAAAATAGTTTTTTATTTTTTATAAACTTATTTTGAACATACTTCTTATTTATTTTTTTATTATTTTTAAAAATAATTTTTAAATTTTTTTAAATAAAAATTTAAATTTAAAATTCATAATAAATAATATTAAAAAAATAAAAATTCCAATAAACCCTATCAAACATACCCTTAAATTGACTTTCATTTAAAAAAAAAAAATCAGAATTCGTACACGACAAGAATTCATTAGTTTTATAACCCTGAGGTTGGATCTATTGTTAAGCCATGTGTCATTTTATAATCCATATTTAGGATTCATGTCTCGAGATTATTAGTTTTGTGGCATGTGAATACTGAGTTAGGACACCCAGAGTCCAAACCAAAAAAATTGAATTCATTAGTTTTATCTGGTACAGCCACGGCCCACGGCCACCCATACTTGATGTTGAAACTTGAAAGAAAAGTTGAAACCCAAATAAAGTAGAAAAATTTGTACTCCCTCCCATGTGATTTTAGTTTTCTTTTTCCTCACATCTTAGAGACGTATCTAGACTTGCATTTTTGTGATCCAATTGAAAAAAATAAATAAAATAAAAAGAAAATGATATTTATACAATCTTTTTATTTATTTATTTTTTACAATTTAACTTGTTATTAAAATGATTGATTTTTTTAATTTACATAAAATTCATAATATTGAATGCATCCACTCATTTAATGATATGTGAAAGTTGTATAAAAAAAGAGATAAAAAAATTATTTTAATAGCACCACCCAAAATAAAATTAACCTGATACGAATAGTGCTGACATCTATGTTTATAAATAGAAATTAAAATGACATAAATAGCTTAATGTAATTTCCATGTATACAATAAGTTCTAAGTTCAAGTTGTATGACATTTAAATGTAATAAGTGAAGGCACAAGAGAGTATTACTTTTTATTATTATGTAATCTAGTATCAAAAAAAAAAAAAGGGAAAAAAAGAGAAAGAGGAGGAATTGAATTTTTTATCTTTGTGAAAATACAGCATATTTTCCGTATAAAGTCGAATATCCCATTACCATGCCTGTGTTCATATGCAGAACCTGAACACCTCTTTTTATTTATATATTTTATGGTATACTTCTATCACATGTATATTTTTATAGCAGTTTCACTACAATATATTTTTCTTGATGATCCCATCTGGTGCTATGCTTTTAGTAAACAAACTCTAAAGTCCTAGTATTCAATTCAAAGAGTTGACATTTGATTTTCTATTCCCTTAAAGCCTGCATTTTATTCGTTGGCTAGTGCCAGATAATCATTTCCGAGTCATACAAATATTATGACCAAGAAGAAGTGCGTTCAGTTCTGAGGGAGGTGTGAAAATTAGATGAGAGCAAACATGGGTTCCTTTTCAACCTTTGTTTTTCTTGTTCTAGGTTTGGTTTTGAATGCAGCAGTGCTCTGTAATGGCGGCAAGACTAGCAGCTATGTGAGGAAGGTTGAGAAAACTGAGGATATGCCTCTTGACAGTGATGTCTTTAGAGTCCCCCCTGGCTACAACGCACCTCAACAGGTCTGTGTTACTTTTGCTCTTCTCCTTGTTTATTTCCTTGTCTTCTCTTGCTTTTCTTAGACATGGAAGCTAAAAAAATTAGTCTTTTTGATGGAAATCATCTTTCCACACTTTGTCCTTTGTAGTGTCTATGGTAACTTTTCAATGTTTCCTATATCCGTTGTTTTTGACAAATTCTAATGCTTTTGATTAAGAATGAGAAGAGATTGGGGGATTAAATCTGTGCTTTGTTCTGATGTATTTTCATAATGGTATTTTGAATTAAGGTTCATATAACACAAGGAGATCACGTAGGCAAAGCTGTGATTGTGTCATGGGTGACTCCAGATGAACCAGGTTCCAAAACTGTGATTTACTGGAGTGAAAACAGCAAGCACAAGAAAGAGGCAGAGGGCAAAGTCTATACCTATAAGTACTACAATTACTCCTCCGGTTATATTCATCATTGCACCATAAAAAATTTAGAGGTGAATGCCAATTTTTGTAATCCAACTGTTTTGCAGCGTTGATTTCATTGTACGTCTGTTTGTGTTCAGTTCATGTTCACAATATGTAGATTGCTAATAAAATTAACCAGGTTTTAAGTTACTAATTAGCGTGTTATGCTCTATCTCAATCTATATCCACTTATTTTCCAATTTAATCATTATGCAGTTCAACACCAAATATTACTACGAGGTTGGGATTGGACATACTGTGCGGAAGTTCTGGTTTGTAACTCCTCCTGCAGTTGGTCCTGATGCCCCATACACATTTGGTCTCATTGGTGAGTGAAAGCTTGCCGCAAGTTTTGCTTCAGTCAAGTGTGTGATAATGTCAGTTTATGTGCCTGTCATGTTTGTTTACACACGCTAATACATTGGTGTTTGGTGGTGATTTGCAGGTGATCTTGGGCAAACTTTTGACTCAAATAAGACTCTAACTCATTATGAATTAAATCCAGAGAAAGGTCAAACTTTATTGTATGTTGGGGACCTCACATATGCAGATCATTATCCAAATCATGATAATGTCAGGTGGGATACATGGGGAAGGTTTACAGAGAGAAGTGCTGCTTATCAGCCATGGATATGGACTGCAGGGAATCATGAAATTGACTTGGCCCCTGAAATTGTAAGCATATCTTCCTACATATCATTGGCAAGTGTGACTTTGTATCATTATTTTTATATTTTTCTGAAATTAACATAAGATCAATCTATTCCAGTGATTTTCAAGCAGCAACATTTTGCATATTTGTTTACAGAAAGCTGTATAGAAGATAGGGATACATATTTACTTATATATATGCTCTTATTGCCTTATGCGCAAGATATTGTGGTATAACTTGAAAATAACATAAGAGCCATTTGTATGTTGCAGGGCGAAACAGAACCTTTTAAAACTTTTACTCACCGTTATCATGTCCCTTACCGCGCATCTAACAGTACCGCTCCCTTCTGGTATTCAATAAAGAGAGCTTCTGCATATATCATAGTCTTATCTTCCTACTCTGCCTATGGTAAAGATTCATAGATCCTAACCATTTTTATGCATATGAATTTGACATGTGTGCTTAGTCTTATCTGGCAACTGTAACTCTCAATTACTTTTTTCCAGGTAAGTACACTCCTCAGTACCAATGGCTTGAAGAGGAGCTACCAAAAGTTAACAGAACTGAGACACCATGGTTAATTGTTCTTATGCATTCACCATGGTATAATAGCTACAACTACCATTATATGGAAGGAGAAACCATGAGAGTAATGTATGAATCATGGTTTGTGCAGTACAAGGTTGATGTGGTATTTGCTGGCCACGTCCATGCCTATGAGCGATCTGTAAGTGTTGTTCTAAAAATTTGTTAAAAATTGAAAAAGAAATCTACAGAAACTTCTGAAACTTAAAAAACAGTTTGTAATGATTCATAAGAGAAAAGCCGGAACTTTGGAAATAATTTGAAACTAAACCTGTATGAGCCATCTGTACATTCTTTGTTCAGGACTAGGAATTTGTTGATGTTGCCTCAAAACTAATGTTACCTGTACTTAACTTTATTCCAGGAACGTGTATCTAATATTGCATACAACATTACAAATGGCCTCTGCACTCCTGTGAAGGATCAATCTGCCCCAGTATACATAACTGTTGGTGATGGGGGGAACATTGAAGGCCTAGCAAACAAGTAAGAGGAACATTCTTGTTCTCTTGTTTGATATATTCATAATTCATTATTTTTATTATTATTATTATATATCTTCTTAAACCTTAGTGTGCTTAGATCTCAATGTTGTGTTTCTTCATTGCAGCATGACAGAGCCACAACCTGCTTACTCAGCTTACCGAGAAGCCAGTTTTGGCCATGCCATGTTCTCTATCAAGAACCGGACTCATGCTTACTATAGCTGGCACCGCAACCATGATGGATATGCTGTTGAAGCTGATTCAATGTGGTTCTTCAACAGGTTCTGGGATCCTATCAATGAGTCTCCATCGTCCCAGTAATAATGAAATCTCCCTTTTTTCCCTTTTCAAATTCTTGTGTTACCTCTTTGGAATAAAGTCATAAACATAGAAATCAAAATTTACATGTCCGTCAAATTCAATATTTTCTTTTCCTTTCTTTGTGCATCTCTACCCTTCCAATAAATTTATGCTAATTAACTTGTTCTCTACACTATCAGGATTTTTCTTTGTATAATTATGATAAACTGTGATGGAGTACAGGAAATAGAGTCTCTTACTCTGATTAGAAAATGAAGACTAGCTCAAATTGTAAAGTAGTAATAGTACTAACAACATGTTCCATAACAGTTGGATTAACCTCCAGAATCCAGACTAATTGAAGATGACATTTCTGTTAAAGAAATGACATTTTAGACTTATTTGTTTATTTCAATGGTAAAGAAGCTAAACTGTCTCAAGAAAAAAATAGGAGTTAATGAGCATTTCTGACAAGTTTGAGAGCTAAAGAGAGATATCTTCTAAAAAGATGCCCAAATGGTAGCTTAAGGACAGTGCAAAGGTCTTCAGATTTCATACGTGAAAGCAGCAAAGAAATTCACCAATTATCACTACTGTTGATCAAGAAACTTTCAATTCTTGTTCCATCACTTGGGAATCACTGTTGCCGGATTCTGACATCGACCCAAAAAGATGCCGACTTATGGGGCAGATGATTGGCAGCAACATGCCTTTGTATGCTTCAGACAGGTTTAGATCCCTGGAATGTGTTCCAAGTATTGATTTTCTTCATTATAAAAGAATCAGAATTCTAACAGGACGAGAATTCATTAATTTTCTTGTACAAAAAAAAAAAGAAAAAAGAATTCATTCATTTTATTTGGTACACCCACCCCTATTAATTCTTGAAAGAAAAAGTTGGAAACCCAATTAAAGGTGGAAATTTTATACTCCCTTACTCACCTAGTATGTGATTTTACCTTTTCCCCAAAGTTCCATGCTGCCAATTTTTTGTCATCAATGTAATAACAGAAGACCATAATTGCCTATTTTCAATTGTGCAACGATGCTTGTTATTGCACTAATTAATTCACTTTGAATATTTGTGGCAATTTTTTATGGGATAAAATCTATTTATATATAAGTTTTACATATTATATTTATATAAAATCTTAATAATTCATTTATTTTTTTTAATGGTGAAGATTTATTTACTTTTTATCATATTTATTGAAGATAATTATTTTTTTATTTAATTATATTTATTAAATATAATTATTTTTTATTTTAAAAGTCATTATAAATCTTAACTATTAAAAATAAGAAAATAAATAATTAAGATTTTATATAAATATAATGTATAAAACTTATGTATAAATAAATCATTATTCTTTTTTTATATGTATAGAGATTTTTGGTATCATTTTTAGAACAATATAGTATTTACTTGGTGATAACATATCTAGTGCTATATATATGCATTCCCCTACTGTGGTTTATTGGTAGCCACTGCAACTCAATAGTATTGTCGGTGGATTGCACCTCCGATCAGTGATCGAACCTTGCCAAAGAGTAAGATACTAGCTTCTAACTCCTAACTCCTAACCATTGCTCTTGTAAAATATATATATATATATATAGTGCTATATATGCTTAGCTGTAACATTCAATTCAAGAGTTGACATTTACTTTTCCAAACATTAATAGGGTTTTTCTAATTCTAACCAATCTGTGCTTAGCTATTCCCTTAAAGCCTGTATATTTCTTTATTGGCTAGTGCCAGATAATCATTTCTGAGTCATGTAAGTGTTATGACCAGGAAGAAGTGGTGCTCAGTTGTAAGGGAGGTGTGAACATTAGATGATAGCAAGCATGGGTTCCTTTCCAACTTTTTGTTTTACCTGTTTTAGGTTTGGTTTTGGATGCAGCAGTCCTATGTAATGGAGGTAAGACTAGCAGTTATGTGAGGAAGATTGTGCTAATCAACTTGGTTCTCTACACTATCAAGATTTTTCTTTGCATAATTCTGATAGATTGTGAGGGAGAGAAAAAGAAATAGAGTATCTTTGATTGGAAAAGGAAGACTGGCTCAAAATGGAAACAATCTGCACATATTGTAACTAGTCAGCTTATCAATATCTACTACTAATAATCATTATTTCTCTATTTTATTAGTTTTATAAAGACAGTATTCTTGAGTCAATTTTTAAAAATCTCTAAATTAACACACTTTGCACTTTGGTCTAGTGTATTTAATTGCGCTGGCACAAAACTAATAATCATTTTTATTTATAATATAAATTATTTAACATTTTGTAAAATAAACTTTTGAAAAATGAGAAAAAAAATAAAGCTTAAATAAATTAAAAATAAAGAGACATAAAATCTAAAAAGGAAAAATCCTCCAAACTTTAATTTTTTAATTAACAAAAAAAAAATAAAAAACAAAATTAAAACAAAGCCAAACTTCTTGCTATCGGACCAACAGACCGGCTAACTCGTTTTATCAGGGTAAGTAGCGGTTTACAAAACCAGAGGGCGGACATCCTCATATTCTAACCAACAAGGGTGTAACGGTAAATGCAGTATTTTTCTTCTCATTTCCGTTCGAGTCTTTGAGATCCAGAGCGTAGCTACGAAAAATTGGTCGAACTTAAATCAAAGCTAGCTCCTGATCGTCGACCGGCTCCGTCAATTGGCATCGCTCATTAAATTATCCGGCGAAAGTATCTCCGATGAAGCAGCCGCATCCAGCCTGACGCAAATGGCGGAGGATACCGTTCCTACGAGCAGCTCCAAAGAAGAAGGAACCGCGCACACTGGTAATCAAGCTGATAACAATTATACCATCACAAACAGTCCTAAAGCGAATGTGAAAGATCCGGAGATCTTCTGTTGCTTGCTCCAGCCGGCCAGTCCCGAATCCAATCCGGATTATGTCGGGATTCGTCGATTCCTTCTCTTTCGCAAAGCCGAATCCGGTCATCACCGCCGTCTCGTAAGCTCCATTTCCAAAAAAAATTTGGGTTCGTTATGTATAGATAAGCCTACGTTCCCGTATTAGATAGTTGTTTACAAGTTTCAGAGCTCGATTTGAGCTGATTTTGGTGATTATTGTTTGTACTCAATGTTGAATGCAATTTATGTCTTCATGATGTTCAAAGGGTGAATTCAAGTTCATTTCTAGCAAATTAAGGCTTTTTGGTATTCGTTTTACCTAGTCCTCTTTAAAAAGATTGCCTGACAACGTTTTTATGTTGAAGGAATGGAGATGCAATGGGAAGGGGTATGCGGCCTACCGTAACTACATTCGCAAGCCAAGAAACGGGCAAAGTTCACAAGCACCAAGCAATCCAAGCAGTCCTGGACACAGGTTGTAAAGATTTTACCTTAATGTTATGAGTCTTATGGTTCTTCTTTTCTATGCTGAATTGACGTTATTATTATAGTCAGATGAGTTTGATTGAATGTATATTGTTTCCATAAGATTGTCTGCTCCAGAAGACAATAACATGGCAAATTCCGTTATCATCAATAACATAAAATTTGAGTTGAATCCTTGTGTTTTGCCATCAAGAATGCATCATGCTTGTTAGATTGAGAATTTGCTATTTTGTTAGTTTTGACGTTGAAGTCTTGTTTGTATAAAGATATGAAACTTATTGGGATGTGAGAGAGTAAGAGAAAACTATGATTCACCTTTTTATGTTGAACTTGAGTGTGTGGGATCTACATAATTAGAACAAAGATAGTGTACCTATGCATTGGTAATTTGGATTAGGCCATGAGAGACATGGTAGTAGATTTTTCTTTCTTTGGAATCCTTGTGCTTTTACCTATGGTGAACTTGTGCTTTAACATTATTCTCTTTTTAGTTTCAATGAGTAATGACCCCATAGAACTTTAACATTCAGCATCTAGTTTATGAGTTCTGTTTTAAATTTATGAATTATGATTCCATACAATTCTGACATCAGGGTCTTTTACTGGTTGATGCATCAGTGGGAGATGGCTTTCATCTTCAAGTCCACTCTTGCACACATTTGAGGTGGACAGCTGGAATTCTGGCCGGGTATGTGCAGCTCTTTTGTGTATTTCCGTCTCTATTCATCTTAGGATTTTGTGTGCCATAGGTTTCGGAACATATTTCCAAATCATAAATCAGTGACAATAGTCTTAGATAAATTGCACCACAATGTGGAGATATTATTCTAAAGTGATGACGGTGCTTATTTATCGGAGGGAACCTGCTTTTGTCACTGACTGCCTGCCTCCTTCCTATGAATGGCATATTTCTATGCTTTTAATTTTTTAAATTACCCCAATTTGATGAATTGAATTGTTGCAGTCTCATCATCAATCCAATATGTTTCACTTTACCCTTTTGTTCTTGGTATCTAAGGTTTGGTGCCATGTCAAAGAATGCAGCTATCTTTCTTACTGAAGTATGCTACTACTGATTCAAATTTATATCTGGTCAATTGCACTTATGATAAATATGATATATGTCATATGTACTGCAGTTTTGTTAATCACTGCTAATTTTACCCTCTGCATCATGTTTCTTGACAAATACATCATTGTGTTTTAGAGTTATTGCATGCATTGAGTACCCTACTTGATACTTGGTTGGTACTTTGAAGACAGCTTCTGTCTGAATCATGGTTTCTGTAATTGTTTAGATGACTTGAATGTCACAACATATTTGATCACTGCAAATCAGCAGGTATCATTCTGAGCAAGTTGTGTGTTGTTCATTCCTTATAGGACCTCCGAAGTGGCAATCCAACTTCAAATCATAGAACAAGTTTCAGCTCCATTGCAAGTGAAAATGATCATCTACATCGACGAGGTGCTGAACCTGCATATTCTTTTGTAGGAATGCACTGTGTATTTGATCACAGCAAATCAGCGGGTATCATTCTTTTCCCATTTCTTTTTAAATTTAGTCATGAATCAGTATTTCTTTCTTTGTTTCAATTACTAATTTGAGCATTGAATTTGATCTTTCAAAATGTTTTTGAAGTCTTTTTTTTTTTTTTATAGAATGTAATGAAATTATTTTTCTTACATGCAGTTACAGTTTTGAAGTTTGGACACATGCGTTCTGATCTACTTGCATACGGTTCATCAGATGGAACTTTGACAGTCTGCAGTGTCTCCGAGCCACCCTCTGTCATCAAGATACTAAGTGGGCACTCAAAAGATGTCACAGGTTGGATTAACTGGTATTGTTTCTGTAGTCTTTTCTTATATATTTGGCTGCAGTATGTGGCTATTGGTCAATAGTTGATGAATGGTTCTTGGTGAAGGTCATGTATCTTGTCACACATGTTTCTAATTTTTGTCATGATTCTTCAATACATTCTTGTCTCCATTTCTAATTTTTGTTAAATGTAATTCATTAAATTGACTTTTGTATTTTTAACTTGAATACATTAAGTTTCTAACTGGCATTCTAATATGTTGTCAGATTTTGACTTCTCATCAAACAACCAGTATATTGCGTCATCATCCATGGATAAAACAGTGCGAGTGTGGGATTTATCCAAAGGCATTTGCATTCGAGTGATATATGGAGTCTCTTCACAATTGTGTATTCGCTTTCACCCTGTAAGTATGCATTCTTAGGACATGAGTTTTATGAACCTAAACTAAACCTATCATTAAAATGTTTGTATGTTTTATGTCTTTTTATTCGCTCATATGCCCATGGAAAAGTTCTGTTGCAGCCACTAAAGTGCAATCCATGTTGAATCAAATTTTTGCTGAGGCAAAATTTTAGCACCATCTCTGAAAATTGTTCATGCAAAAAAATGTTTTTATTTTCTTAATTCTTTGTTAGATTTGTAGATTTTATGTTCTTGACACAAATTTTTGCACCTATATGTTCTTGACTTTATACTCAACTAAAAAGGTTATTTTCTATTTTGTTTTCTGATGCAGGTAAATAACAACTTTCTTTCAGTCAGCAATGCAAGCAAAGAAATCACAGTAACCACTCCCCATCCTTGCTTAATGCATAATGTTACTTTTTGTATTTTCAGATAGGTTCTAGCCCTCAAGGGTGTTTCTGCATTGTGACCTGAATTTTGATTGGTCTGGTCTTGAATTTATAAGAGGAATGCAAAAGAAAATGCTAAATGAAAAACCTTTCAACTTCAGACCCTTTAATGCCCTTGTGACTAAATGCTGTGATTGATGGTTGCATGTCTTTTCTGTCCAAGTTTCTTCTCTTCTCTGCTGCCTCAGTTTCCATGCACACATAATGCTGTAATTGAGATAATGATAGCATGGGATGAAGGATCTGTTGATTATCTCAAGTCAAAACCTAATGCTTGGTTACTTCATTGGCAATGGCATGATATACCAACCAAATGGTTATAGTCTCCAGAAAACTGACCAAATGGATTGCATTATTCTACATTCTAAACTTGTTTTTCTTTTTCTGATTTTGCTTACCTTCAATTGAAAAATCAGAAATTAAGATTCTTAAAACTCAGTGGTCATACTTTGTCTCAAAAAAGTCTCAGCAGTCCCATAAGTTGATTAACAGCATGCACTTTTCTTCATATACTAGGTATTCAATTTCAGCACTGGGAGGACTATTACTAAATTGGTCTTTGACAGCGAGGTTACTTCCATGGACCATGATCACACTGGTCAAATAATTTTCTGTGGAGATGCACAGGTCTCTTATATATATCTGCATAATCTGATCTGACTAGCTGAGGAAGTTGATGTTTCTTGGTGGACAGGGTTTAATATAATAAATATTATTTGCAGGGATGTATATACTCAGTAAACATGGACTCACACACTGGAGCATTATCTCATTCTCATCGTAACAAAAGTAGCAGCACACGCAAATCTCCATTCACAACTGTGAAGTACCGTAGTTTCTCTTTACTGGCAGGAGGGCCTGTGTTGCTGACATGTACTCAAGATGGAAGTTTGTCTTTCTTCAGGTTTATTCAGTAAACATGTCTACTGTCTTCTATGTTTTGCTTCATTAACAGATGGTAACTTGGTGTTTTGATTTTCCAGTGTTTCCTTGGAAGTACAAGGTTATCTGACACTCCGTTGTTCACTCAAATTGACTCCTAGGGTGCACAGCATTCGAGCATCCTTCTGCCCTCTGCTTTCCCTTGAAAAGGGAGAATATGTAGGTTAGTTGTGCGTTCACATGTTCACACCATATTTTTGTGTGAGACTAGATGATGTAATATATATTGCAAAACTCAGAATTTAAAGCTTGAAACCAATTTTCCAGAAATAGTTTCTTTGCCCATGGTATTAATTATAGTTGTTTTATTACTGCTGATATTCTGATATGTTTTAACCTGAAGTTGCTGGGAGTGAGGATACAAACGTTTACTTCTATGATCTAACACGACCAAGGCATCCATGTGTCAATAAGCTTCAGGTCATATTCTTTTGCATTCTAGATTTCTTACTTTGACAATATTCACCCATCTGCTGCTGACATAGCAAATCAAATTATGGCTACAGGGTCATCGTTTCCCAGTGATAGGAGTTGCTTGGAATTATGGAGAGAACTTATTGGCTTCGTCAGATCTTTATGGTGTTGTTATAGTATGGAAGAGAGCAAAAACAAGTTAAAACATATACATAGCAAAATGGATTTGAAAGAGGTATATATTCAGAGGCTGAAGAAGGAATTCAGCTTTGTTTGCGTGATTTCACCATTCTTTTTTTCAAGCATTGAACTCGTTGCAGTGTATTATCTACAATTGAGGAAAGTAGGAAATCATTGTTTCTCTCAAATTTTTGTATTCATAAAATTGCATTTACATTGTATTTTGAGGAAGTGTGTGAGTAGGCAGATGTAGAATAAGTCGTTGAACCAAAACTGCAGAATACCTGCTTATAGATTGATTCCTTTATTTGTTCGGTGATTAGATCGCTCATGATTAATTGCAATCATGTAGAGGTGTTATTTGATGCCTTATGCTACCAAATTATGTTCATGTCTTGTTTCTTTACTGTGTAGAGATTTTTTCGTTGGAAAGCAATTGTGATGAAGCAAATCTCCAACACTAGCTTAGGATCCAGGCAAAATGCTTTAGACTGCTGATTAGCATGCCGCTTCTATTTCACCCAAAACAATTCTAACCATGGTCTGGGTGGCTGCGTCATTGCAACTATCTTTGAAATACAACTTAACAGGAATAAATTGGTCAAAGTTTTGGGGAGTCAGCCAGGCAAAAACGCTGCCTCACTACGGTCATACGAGGATGTACAAATTCTGTTCATAGACTGAGGAACAGAAAGAAGGAAGAATGGAAGGAAGCAAGATATACGGAGGGTTTTTTATTTTTTTTGAAAATAAGATATATGGAGTTATCAGGAATATTCTCCGTTCCTCACTACAAATCCGTTGTAGTCTAGTTGGTTAGGATACTCGGCTCTCACCCGAGAGACCCGGGTTCAAGTCCCGGCAACGGAATCAATTTTCCCTTTTTCCTTTCCAGATTTTATTTATTTATTTATTTTATTGGGACGATTAGTTGAGCAGGGAAGAAGAAACGATGAACAATAATTATAAGACAGCAAACGCACCAATATTCTGCAATTATCAATTATCACACACCTCTTTCTCTCTCACATAAATAAAGTACATCCCTCGGACTACATGCTAACAAATATATATATAGTGGATGTCATCCAAGATCCCAGTATCTATTGCTCTTTCAAAGTTAAAAATAGTTCGGATTATACACAACCTAGTTTATCATTGCTAACCTGGGACGGATCTATATTACATGATTAAGGACAACTGGAACACATCCTTGACTTTAGTCGAGGATAACCGGATAACTAAGACCCCCAAACTATATAAACATGACAGGTTTCAAAACCAGTTACTGTCAACCATAGACTCACAAATTGTACACAGATTATGATGCCAGATATATTCATTCGACTCTGTGTTCGCTTGAAGGCTAACCAGAACTAAAAACAGAAGAACCTCAAGTTTCTTGATTGCTACTCCACTTCAATATGCTAAGCTCACATGCTTTGTCACCTCCGACGTCGCTTTGTGTCCACCTGATACACCATCATCACATATATGTAAAATACAGTCACAAAATATATATTAGAAGAACAGTTAAACAGAAAAAATTTACCATATCATCAAGTTAACTTAATACCGTTAAACTATCCCCCTAACCACTGCCTAGGATGCAGATATCCAAGTCTCACAACCTATGCCATGATTCATAATTAATACTGCTATTGGCATGCAAAACCTCCTAAGACCTTCCTATAAATCTGAATTCTGCCTGGTTCAGAAATTGAAAGCACAGAAACATATATAACATAAAGCATGTCAGGTAATGAATTCAATCAGTCACTGTAGGACATAAATGTCCATTCTTATGGATGAAGAAAAACTGGAATGAAGAGCAACAGTGAGAATCATAGTGATGCAGGACAGGTTAGGAAATATGGTGGTTTTAGGGACAAAGCCGCTTACTTAGGCTAACTTGGGACTATGAAGTGTAGTACGCAAGTCACAAACAATAAAATCTAATTTCAAACGGGCATGCAAGTCAACTTAAATCAGGAGGTATCTAAGTGCTGCAATGACTAAGATTCTCAAGATAGAATAAACTTCATTAAATGAGACTACCTTTGTATCTGAGAGTCTGGAAGCATTAAGGGAGTTCTGCAACTTCTGACTTTCAGATGAACAACTTTCACAGAAGAAGTGTTCAAGTTTTTTAGCCTCCTCAGCAGTCATTTCTAAACAAGCAGGATGAAACCTGGATCAAAAGTAGTTTGCTGAATACTGCACCAGACAGCATACTCTAAATGTATTTTGATTATTTATGGTGAAAGAAACAACCCAGTAAAATGGTACAAATTAAAATCAGATCTGCAACAATCTGTGAACCTGAAACTGTTACTCAAACTTTTTTTTCTTGATATCTTAACTGGGATCAATAGCATGGCTCAAGCATCAACCTTAGCAGACAAGTAAACCATCTAGCAAGACTCTTTACCAAAAGTATGCCTTTCCAACGAAGCAACTCTGATATGTTAATCCATGCTTATAGATTTTTTCTTTTTATACAAATTGTTTAACTTCTTATAGATTTTTTCTTTTTCATACAAATAGTTAACATTTTAAATTTTAAAAACCATTGAATGCATAACAAACATGTGTAAAAGGTATAGTTTCCTCACATGGGATACATATGCTGACATGAATAAACCAGTATTTGCATTTTGAGAAACAAAATTGTATTTGTTGAAGGCTTGAAGCATGGTAAACGATGTGCAAGATCTTTCAGGTACACCTGCTAAGTTATAAGGAAGTAGCAAGTCCAGTTTTTATTTTAAAAGCTATCAACGCATCTCATACCCTAAATCAAGTTCCAGGGAGAAAAAAAAAAAAATGCACCAAGGACAAGCTTTTCTAGAAGGTTAACTCTATGTCACAGAAATCAGCATACATGTAAAATCACTTTGTCATTAACTTCTCATGCAAAATCTGATGCCCTATCCATCACATATAGCAGAGATGAAAGCAAGGAATTTAATTATGTATGAATTTTAGAAGTGTTTATTCCAGAATGGAATAGAGGGAGCCTAAATAGAGCTACTGCATAATGCAATGGTCTCACAATAAGCTTATTAGAACCCCAACCATATTTGCATAGACCTAACTAAACAAAATAAAGCACACCAATACCCCTTTCTCAAGGAGAAAATAAGTAGGACATTGAAAACTCAGGCCCATCATACTCCACCTTGAGCAAGCAAACAATCAAATTCAATTTAATTATTCCAAACCATCTAGGACTCACACTTCTTTCACCTAAGTTCATTCCTACTACAGTGGTCTGTAAAGGATCTGCCAGTCCCCAGACTCCCAATTAATCTTCTGTGAAATGGATGAGCTTCTCAAACAAGTATTTGTCTCAATTAATACTTCAGAAGTGCATTCTACATATTACCTGCCACAATTATCCTTTGCCTAATCTAAAAATGCAAGCCTACTGCTCAGGGGCTGGAGGGGATCCTTGCAAGGGAATAAAACCCATCCCATTCTTCAAAACTAATCCACCCCTCCTCACCTTTTCTCAACCCCTCACCCCCTCCTCCCAACCAAATAATGACTTGGCACAAACTCTTTTGCTACAAAGAAAGTAAAGGGCTAGAAGTGATTCATGAACAGATTACTCTAACAAGTCCTCATCATTTCCATGATCTCTATATCAAAGTGTTGTAAAATGGCACAATAGAAGGTGGTTATTGAGTAAAATTAATAATTATACTTTATCAACTGTGACTAATTTATTAAATTAAATTATTAGTATTGTTGAATGGTCTGTATCTGAAAAGATTGCTTCAAAAGAAATTAAATAACAGAAACACCACAGAGAACTCATCTTGAACATTTCAAATGCTTTCATGTAAATACACAACCACTCATCCATAATTTACAATAGCTGACATATAACTGCATAGAGGTTAAACTGCTAAAGGGAAATAAATCTTCAAGAAGCAACCAACTTACCAATCACTGCAGCCTTCACACTGAACCATAAGGTCATCAGGGTTGTAAGGCATCTCACACTTGCAATACCTGCCCAATAAACCATCCAATCTGGAAAAGGTCAAATAAGTGTTATAAAAGGAAAAGGAAAATCTTAAGTTGCAAAAACTCAAGTTTGACATCTTAGCTTGTGAACATAAATGTTGATTGATTTATTCCAAGGTGTAAAAATCACAAATTTAAGAAAAACCAACAGTGCTTTCTAATAAGTTAATCATCTTGATCAATCAAACCTCAGTAGTTTAAGCCCAAGCTCACACGACAGGCATTTCTGTAAATTTAATCTAGTACTTAAGCCGTTAATCCAAATAAAACAACACATCAAATAACAAGTAAACTTGACAGTCTCATATTTGAAGCAAAATAAACCAGCCATTGTCCCCAAAACATAAATTAATCAAAACATTAAAAGCAAATACTACTTTATTTACACTTTTGTGATATTCAAAATACTACCAACTACATTCCAAGTTCAATCACGAAACCCACCACCTCAATTAACAAACCAACCAACATAAAGACCATTGCTCCAAAGAGTTGAAAACTCCAGGATTAACGAAAAGGGAATTAATCAGGCATTTACCATCAAATAGCCTAAAATTGCTGCTTTCACGCTTCCATGTACACTTTACTTAGATTACTCTTGAGTTTCATTGTTGAACTACCAAAGTGATATTCATCAAGAATAAAGTAATCAAAAGGTTCGAAAAAGAAAAGCAACTATATTAACTCAAAACAAAACAATAATTAAGACTCTTAACAAAATTAAAATCAAAATCAGAACGTACACAGCAACGCGATCCGGATTGAAAGCACCGGTGGTAGAATTGTACTCAAAACGACAGAAGAAATCTTCATTTCCAACTGCATCCAACTTCGTATAGCTCTTGAAGCTGTGCACGGTACACTTTCCTTCGATCGTATCGGCACTTTGCACATCATAATGATCAGACAAAAACACCTCTTTAGATCCGTGAAACTGCCTCCTCCCTCCGATAGACTCTTCCGGCCGGTAATACCACCGTACATGTACCTTAACGTTGGCACCACGCGCGTCCGCTTCGATCCTCTCGATTTTCGCCACGTACGACGGTTTCCTCGGATCCGACGGCCGCATCAACACGCAGTCTCCCGCTGCAAACCATCAAAACACAACACACCAGAACCTCTGTAAAGAAAAAAATCAAAAAAAAAAAATTTTTTCTTCAATTCTGAAACAGAAATCCTCCGATTCATTACTTGAATTTCGCTTACGTTTAATTGTTTTGTTGATGGGCTTCACTGTATAGGACTCTAGAGTTCTCCTGGGAGCTTTGGCCTTGGCCATGGAAGTCGAAGTGAGTTGCCGTACACAAAAACAGAACACAGAAACATGCACAAGGACAAGAGAGAGATTGTAGAAATAGAAAATTAAAAAATTTTTAAAAAAATTACCATTCTCGTTTTTCTTAATGTAAAACTATTACCACTTTAAAATAAATCCCACCGTAATTATACAACAAAAATAATTAAATTAAAATAAGATCTTCTCTTACTATTAAGATTTTTTTATATTTATTTTACATTTTGATAGGGTCGAAATTATATATATAGGAATAAAGTTTATTTAATTTATTTTTTTTTACTACTATAATTTAAAAAAAAACACACACACAAAAATTAATTTTTTTTTTACAGAGAGTTTTGTTCTGGTGTTTCGCGGGGTATGGTGTGGATGGAATAATCACCGTTCTCGAGTGAAGGTAGGGATAAGATTGGAAATTAGAGGAAAGATGGGGGTATTTCGAGGGAAGAGAAAAGGACCGGTGGATTAGGATCCACGTCAGCGCGTGATTAGATTTGGTAACAAGAATTGGTTAAGCTGAAGCGTGGGGTATAGCTATTGACACCATTTTGGGCAACCATCCAAAAATTTCACCGTTGTTATAGATACTTTTCTCAAAATATTAGTATATAAATTGATTTTAATTTATTAATTAATAAATAGTATTTTTTATTTATTTTTAACAAATTTATTTTAATTTTTTAAATATAAATTTAATATATTATATAAATAACAATTAAAAAATATTTTTTTTATCAAATTAAAGTATTTGAGAAAAACTTTATATAAGAAGAAAATTTTTTTAATTTGTTATTTATATTAATTTTTAAATTTTTATTCAAAATTTATATTTACAAAATTAAAAAATTAAATTTATTAAAAATAAACAGGTAGAATAATTATTTTATCAATTATTAATTAATATTTTTTATCTTAAAATAACTATTATTTTTATTTTTTAACTTTAAATTTATCTCAAATTAATTTTTAATTTTATTTTTAAAATAAATAAATAATTTTTTTATTTTAAATTTAACATTATTTACTTATTTTAATTAACTATCCTATTAAAAAATATCTTTTTACCTTTTAACTTCAAACATAGTATACATAAATATATGAATTATTTTAAAATGTTAATTAAAAAATAAAAAATAATTACAATTATTAATATTTATTTTTATCAATAAAATAAAATAAATTTAATACTTTTAAAAATAATATCTTATAAATTTGATGACTTTAACATTGTTATTAATGGTCATAAAACCATGGCCAGGAGCGTGAAGGAGCGTTGCAGGGGAGAAAAAGGTAGGAGTTGTGGATCCTGTGGTGGCAGGTCTACTTTTACGTTGATTATTGTGCACTATAGAGATACTGACACGTCAACGTGTTTGGGAAGGTGAAACAGTCTAATGTTGACACGTGAGCCTTCTTTTTTTTGTTTTTTTGGGGAAACTTGCAGCCTTAAATTGTTGCCTCAGAAGCGCGTTTCGTGGGGGCGACCAATATCCGTCGGATATCTGCAAAGTCAGTATTTGGTGATAGGTTGAGAGGCAGAAGAATGATTCTCACGATCATGGTGGGCATGTCAGTGTATGAACATGAGGTTCATATTTTTTGACTTAAGGAAATTTTGATTTTGACAACATTTTGGTCTATCATCCCTACTTCCCCTAGTGAGATTTGAATATATATTTTTTTTATTCAATACTCATTAAGATGAGGTTGAATTTTAAAAATTAAATGTTGCATATATAATTTTAATTATAAAATATTAAATAATTAAATGTAAATAATATGTAAGATGGATTCTTAAATTAAATTATTATTTTTTTAGATATTGGGAGTTGAATTTGAGTATCATCAAACCATATATATGGAAAATTTCTTACAAATGAAATATGACCATTAGATTATAAATACTTTCTCCTTAAGTTATAAAAAATTAAATTGTATATGTTATATCAATTATCATGTCATATTATTAATAAAATTATATAATTTAAGTTATACATTTAGTTCTTATCTTTTAAAATAGGTAAAAAGGAATTGAAGAAGACTAAATTTATTTTAGAAAGAAGGCATAAAAAAAATGTGGTTATGACTATTAAGAACATTGTTAAAAAGCTAAATTTACATATAATTTGATTTATATTTGTAATTGTTTTTAAATAGATAATTATGATATTTAAACAATTAATAAATAAATAAATATTTATTATTTTATTTATTCTTAATAATTAAATAAAATAAAATAAATATTTTTTAACCATGAAAGAAATGGCATAGGTGCCTACAAAAAAAAAAATGCATAGGTGCCGAGTTGGTAGTGAATAAATTCCTGCGTCAGCTTGTTTGGTGTGGTCGTATTATAGAAAAAGTGAAGGGGACCCGGAAGATGACTGCAAGCAACATGGAAAATAAAAGGGAGTCAAGAACAAGGGCAATAATTATCCTTGCCATTTATATTCTCAGTCAGCCCCCACAAAGAGGTACAATCTGGTACACAAGGGAAATGTGCTATCTTGGTGTTAAATTCAACTTTGGTAATGAGTGTGTTGCATGCCGTGGAATGGTATACTGGCATCCTTCTTTTCCTTTGCCTTTTCTCTTTCCCTCCTTTTTAGGGATAAATGTGCCAGGCCGCTGTGATAGGAAGAAGCTGCTTATGTGCAGCAGGTAAAGAGTTACCTATGTGTTTGTTACCAATCTTTTCACAAGAGAAATCTTTGATGCATCCCCACCAATTTCCTCAAAAACTACAATTGAGTTCTGTGTTTGCTTCAACCAGGACCGAGGAACATGGTACCTGAGAATATATATCCAGGAATTAGGACCTTATACATGCAAGGCTAAAGTGGGAAGTTGGTTTTTTGATGATTTTTACCATTGTTGAGTTGGAAGGCCACAGCCAAAATTGCATTTTGTCTGTCGATATGTACCGGCATAGCTGCATTCTGTGCAAGTGCCATCAGCAGGAGTAAGCCAGTATCTTCCAATGTTCTGTCCATTGATCCACACTAGACCTTTCGACATGCTACTCATGTCTAAAGCTAAGGGATCATCTCCTTCTGGAGCATCAAAATAGGCCTGCAAATTACATTTTTTAAGCAGAATCATGTACCATGCAGTCAAATGGATGAGAAGAAGATACTATCTTTTTTCTTACCTTATACCATGTTAAGGGCTTCTGTTTCTGATCATCTTCCACGGAATTAAGGACCCAATCAACTGAAGGGACAGAATTTAGAGGAAATAGAGCCTTGGATTCTCCTTTAAGGCCAACCTGTATGACGACAAAGAAATCATGTATCGTTTGTCTATATTGGTAAATGGAAAGTGATCAGAAGTAGGAGATTTTTGACCTTGTATGACCATTTTTGCCAGGATAAGTCCTTCCGTCCCTCATCTAGCCCTTGTAGAACAACTGGTCCTTGGACACCAATTTTCCATGTCTCAAAATGGGTACCAATATTCTTCAACAACAGAAAAAGAACAATGGAAGGTGTAAAATTCGGGGAAGGGAGGATACAGTCTTGCTTTCATGTAATGTGATTACTAATTAGTCTTTGATTAATTACCGGCAATCCCATTGATATACTGAGAATTGAAATTGTATTTGTTCCAGCATGCAGGTTGATATTCCCTCTGAAAGTACACCTCCTGCTTTTCCGAGTTCCAAAGGCTGATCCTGTTATAGATTTAACCCATAAAAGCCTTAGATTCTTAAGAAAAATAAACCATAATAATTGAACTGATTTGAAGGAGTAGAAAATAATCAGTTTACCTGCAGGCTCTCCGTTGACAAAGACATGCATACCAGGCCCCTCTGACTGCACGGTGAGAAGGGGGAGTTTACCACCTTGGAGGAATGATTCAGATGGACTTATATGAACACTGGAAACATAATACACTCGGTGAGGGGTAATGTTGATTGACATCAATTTTTAAATTACAATCACTCAAGTCTGACCTGGTTGTGTACCAAAGATAGTCACTGGTATCTCTGGTGATATTTAATTGTTCTAATAGACCTATGGCTGTTACCATTGATTCATCATCTACCAAAAAGACATCTTCATTGAATGTCTCCCATGAGTTAAACTTAACATTTGTGGGCACCATTTGAACTTGTGGGGGTTTATTCCCTACCTGCATGCAGGGGAAAAGAAGTGGGAAATGTATGCTATGTTTACCATGATTGTCAATAAATTAAACAAGAACATATAGAGGAGGAAAATCTAAAAAATTTGGTATTGGACATTATTTATTTGTGAGGTTTCTAGCAACATGAATGGTATAAAAGGAGATTTCCAAACTAATTCACTGACTTGAGCTGTGTTGAAAACAGCATTTTTGCAATCAGGAAGGATGCTGATGGACCAAGGAGGGAGGTCATAGTAGTTGTCATTGAATCTCAACCTCGCTGATGAATTTCTATCAAAGTTTGTGAGAAATGCTGCGCAGCTTCCTGAGTTGGAACTAAAAACATCTGCCTGTAAAAAATAATGATGATGAATTAACTTACTCTAGACTTTTAGTTGATTTGGAAAATTTTAGGACAACAATCATGATTGCTTCTTTTGGACTATATATATTTTCAGGAAAGTACATTTTAAGATATAAATTGCCTTGTGAACCATGGCAATGTTGGATTCTGGTGTCTGGTTTAGAATGTGACAGACCTCTTTGTAACTTCCCAAAACTATGAAAGTTGGATCAGCATTAAGCAAAGCTCCTTCGGATAGCTTGATTGCCTTATGGAGTTGAAGCAAATGGTCATATTTAGGTTGCCTTACCAGACCTGTCAAATTATGAGTCATAGGTCAAGTCCTGCATTCTGGAGTTAAAAATGCTTGATCAGTGCTCACCAGGGAATTGAAAAGTAGGACCATGATGCTTACCATATTCATCAATGGGAGCATCATAGTCATAGCTGGTAGTTACGAAAGGTCCTCCAGAAGTTCTTCCAAAGTTTGTACCTCCATGGTACTGCAGGAGTATATAAGCTTAGTGGTTTACCATGTTTGGACAACTTTACAGATGATACCATTAGGAAAAAGAGATTATATAAGATGAATAAGATCACAGCAAGCTTCCACTCCAGAAACATCACTTTTTAAAAGCAATTAACAAACTTACAATAGCAAAGAAAATGTAAAGCATTATAAGACAATGTTAACCTTTATCAGATGCATATTTCCCATATGTTTTCCGAGGAATCAAGAAAAGAATAAAGGGCATTTCCTACTTTGGCTCAAACAATGGCAATATATGTGAATCAGTTCTATATAGTAACATGTGAGAAAATTGGGGTTTTGACTGACCATGTAGTAATTGACAAAAGAACCACCCTTTTTTATGAATCTGGCAACTGCAAATGCTAAATCTTCAACAGGTCGTTGGTAATTTGGACCGCCAAAGTCTGAAAACCTATCAAAACACAGATACACTAGTAAAAGCCTAATGATACAGAACAATGTCCTTTTGAGTGATGATAGGAAGGAAAGTTTACCAGCCACTCCAGGCCTCAGTCCATAGTGTGGGTTTATCAGGTTTGTTTGGAGAGAAATAATCACAATAAAAGCCATTGCAAGTGTTTATCTGTCAAGCATATCCAGAAAATGTTAAAAGATTTACTAATCATTCAAATTGATATGAAATGCCCAGAGCAGAAAAATTTTCATGGGAAAGAAAACGGCAGTTTGCTCTACCAAAGGGTCTGGGGCATCTTCTTCCTTGCACATAACCCATGGGACCCCGGTATCCATTCCAACAGCCATGTTTGCAGCCCAGTTCATGTATGCTAGGCCAGCATCTCCATATCTCCTTCTTTCAGGCTCATACTCATTCTCAATCTGCCCAAGCACTCCAGAGACTAAATAGTTGTACCCAAAAATATAAAGAAAAAGAAACTTCAATGATGAAAAGTTGGTTTTTTTTTTCTTTAAAAAAAAAAGGAAATTGCATGAGTTTTCTGCTATCCCAGACCTGAGAGAGGATGATAGGACCACCTTGAGACTCAAACAGCTTTTCATCCTTCATCATTTGGACAATCTTCAGGGTGAATCTTTGCATTGCTTGCTGCAACACAAACCAATATAAAATTTTAAGGACACATTTGACACAGTGAATCAAGAAAACAGATGAAAACATCAACCGTTTTTCTTTTGTTTGCTTACTTCAAAAGGCTTATTATCTGTTCTGAAGCTAATGCCATGAACAAACTTCAACCAAACAGGAAAACCCCTGAAAGAAAAGAAAAGAAAAGGAAAAAATAACACTAATGCAATAAGAAAAAGAAAAATTATAAGCTCCTGTGAAGAAAGAAAAAAGTTTTTACCCAAAATTCCACTCTCCACAAATATAAGGTCCAATGCGAAGATGTACATATAGGCCAGCTTTTTGCACCAGTTTAATAAACCGAACCAAATCATATCTCCCTTCAAAAATATACTAAAATCCATAAAAGAAAAACCAGAATAAGATAAAGAGAATGAATGAAGAACAGAGGAAAACAGCGGAATGAAAGAGTGGGAATTAAAGAAAAGGAGAGAAAGAGCAAACTACATAGCCGGGAGAAGGTTCATGAAGATTCCAGAACACATAGGTATCAATAGCATCCAAGCCACCATCTTTTGCTATCTGTATAAGACCTTCCCACATCTGCACTCTCGCATCAACATTGTTAGTTCAACAGAAACCCCAGAAATTTTCTGACCAAGAACCAAACTTTCCTAGAAAATAAGAGCTAGAAAGGCCGGAAAAATCAAGAATACCTCAGGGGTGCTTCTGGGGTAGTGTATGGAGCCAGAAAAAAGAATTCTCCTCTGCTCATTGATGATAAGAGCCTTTCTATCATAGGTGACATTGCACTGTGTCACCTTGAAACTCAGAGATAGGAGTACTACTAAGTAAAGCAAGATCAATTTAGAAGCTGAATTAGCTTCCATGTTTAGAAAAAAGGAGCAAGGATTATGATGAAGTGAGGAAGAAGAAAGAATGTGAGTCACGGTAAGAAAGAGTTAGTTATTTATGTAGTTACTGTGCGAGAATAATTGAAAACAGAATCCATGACGGTTATGGTATGGGGATTATAAAGTTGAAAAGTTCTACTGCTACTCTGTCTCATAACAAAGTACAATTTTTTTAATAATTAAATTCATTTTTATCATAAAAAATATTATTTGTAACTGTTCTCAAATTTGTTTTAACAAGTTAATTATATTATAACTATATATTTAGAATTAGAGATTAATATTGATGAGGAAACTAAAAAATTAAAATTGCAATGTCACATCACTAAATTCTTACTATTGAACTTAAAGTATAATTGGTATAAGTGTTGTCATTTAATTTTAATAGAAATATATAATTATAAATTTTTATAAAATAATCCCTAGATGTTATTAGATCAATTAGGGTGTTCTTAATTTAGTTATAGTATTTAAAAATATTAATTTATAAATTAATTTTAAACTAATAAAACTGATGTCAGCTATTAATAATAGACAAACCAATGGAAAGAAACAAAATTTATGGGCAACGGAAGGAAGGAAAGAATATTGATATGGGGTCACTTTAGCTGTGAAGTATGGGCGTAAAGTGGAGCGGAATTTCAAAAGAAAACAGAATTATCACATGATCTCAACAAAACTGGTAGGTGAAATTGGCACTTTTGCAACTTTTCTTCATGGGATTTGTCATCTATACATCTCTTCACATGTAAGCTGCCGAAGAGAGAATTCTGCTAGAGATGAGTTACTTGCGAACCATTTAGGTTCAACTTCATAAGTAAACAAGCTTGACAATCAAACTTGAGCTTCATCCATTGGATAACTGAGAGGATATATTTGTCCGAACCGAGCCAATCTTGGACTGACAAAGTGGTGATCTTCCACGAGGCTGAAATCCTCAGGTCGGCCCTTATCCCCACTTGCATGGAGGGCTAGTGAGAGTGTACAGCATTTGATCCACACTTCTGCAAAGTTCGGTCAAGCCTACCACATAATATTCCGATTATTGCTCTAGGGATACCACATAGACTTATCCCAAGTCCATAAACACACTTAGAGGGTCCTCGATAATGGTGTTTTACCAATTTATAAATTTTCTTTGGTTACTTTGTCCCCTAAGTATTAGAGTATTTATGTTGAAATCAATTGTCAAGTTTCTACAAGTTAATAGCTTCTTTTTT